GGCCAGCGGCCAGCGGCCTGCCCCCCGCTCCCCCTCCTCGCCTCCGCAGGCGGCTTCAGCTCTGGGGGCACCGGGCCCCTCAGGAAAACCATCTCCCCTTCTCCAGACCCCTCTTCTCACTGTTCACTTTTGCTTTTTCTCCCTATTTCTTTAAAAACACAGAGAGGAGGTGCCCGTCCTGGCCTGTGCGGGGCTCACAATGCCAGCCATTGACAGCGGCTGGCACTGCCTGGTGACTTCAGCCCAAACTCCCCTGCAACCAGACTGCTCCTCCTAGGCTGAGGCTGGCCAGAGGCTCCCAGAGAAGCTCAGACAGTTTTAATTCATTTTGACTGCTTATCTGGGGGATAAATATCCCCCTCTGTCCTTCTCTTGCCTCCTGGCCAAAATGTGTCTGCTCCGGAGAGCAGCCCTGTCATCCCTGGGTGCCTGCAGCCTGGGCAGCCCGCTTCCAAAGCTCCCCCAGCATGAAGGGGATTATAATCTCTGGCCAGACACTCTCTCAATCCCTTGCTGCACAGCTGCCCCCAAAACACGCCAGTAAACAGCCCAAGCTGCCAAAGCAGCAGCTCAGGACAGTGCCTGTGACACAGAGGAAGGGAGAAGCAGGGGCAAGGATGCTTGTTTCTTGCAGGTTTCAGGAAGGAAAGCCTGAAGAAGAGATGATAACCTCAGCTGTTCTGGTAGCTATTATAGGAATGTGAGCATTGCTCCTTTAAATCTTCAGCAAGCTATCAGTTTGGCAGGCACTAAGCAGAGAGCAAATGCAATTGGGGCAGCCGAAACATGGCAAAGAATAACACCATTCTCCTTATTTTTAGCTAAAGACCTTGTTTGCTGTTACAAGAAATCCACTCATTCTGCAATTCTTTACCATTTCCACACTCTGTTGCCACATTTTACTGCAACAAGAGGCCAAAACAACCCCGATTCTCCTCAACTGCACATGAAACAGTGAGACTTTTGCCTACAGATAGACAGAGCAGAAACTTAAGGATTCAGTGCCATGGTTTTCCATTTTCCTGAATGCACACACGCACACAGACACACAGAAGATGCATGCAACGAAACTGCTGACCTACTTGTTCTGCGTCATTCTGATGCAGGTTTGACTTCTCACCTGGCGCTCCCAGGAGTTGAAACCTTGAAATGTCATGTATGGCAAAAATTGCAAGGCTTTACTTTTCTCAGCAGTGTTCACAAATCAGACTCGGTGCTATCAGATCTCACAGAAATACAAGCTAAATTCTCACAGCAGAATCATGCCATTCCCTAAGCCACACAAAGCATCTGCACACTGGGATATGTATCTAGGTGTATGTTGAATAGTCAGTCACCTCAGGTTAATTATTGCCCTGAAGGACTTGGTTTTGCATGTGTTGCTCATCTAAGATTCTGACCTGTTTCATATAAGTGGTAGGAGAACAGGGAATGCAGAATTATTCAGAAACAAGCAGGTAAATTCCCCAAATGTCCTTATCATGTAGTTAATGAGTTAAATGCACTGAAAAGCCATCCCTTCAAATGCTTGATGTGGAGATAGTTTGCTACATAACACATTTGGAAAGCGAAAGCTGAGAAGAGTTTGATCCCTACCAGTCGCACAGCAGTTCAGACACTCGCAGTGGATTTTCCTCTAACTTATTCATTGCCTTTGAGAACATCTTCAGTTTGGTTGTGATTCAGAAAATAATTAGGTAAGCGGAAGACATGACCATAATTCACCTTCTGAACTTGCTTAGAGTTCACGGCTGTCTGTCACCGATACCCAGCACTGCTGCATTACAGAAATGGGTCAGGAAAGTACATCCACATGTGAACTCCTCCAAATTTGGGAAATATGAGTGTTGATGAAATGCAAGGTGAATTCAGAACTGGAATACCATATCTGCTGCCTCAGGGCAGTATTGGGGTGTTGTGCCTCACCTGTTTCAAGAAAGGAAAGTAGAGTGATATATTCAGCAGAGCTAAAAACCAGCAGAGCTGGTCTGGTAAGGCAAATGGTCTTGTAGTTCAGGAATCAGGTAGGGCTTAGGACATGAAAAACTGGGTCAGGTCATCAGTCTTTTGCAGTTTTCCTCTCTGACCTTGGACAAATTACTTTTAATGTCTTAGATAAACTCAGCTCCTTGGCTAAGGAACAGTGATGCTGATGTTTCTGCTTTTCAGACAACTTTTATTAAATTGTATTTCAAGGTGCTCTAAAGGTGTTTGTATATGACAGAGAGGGAACACTTACACAAATTGTTAGATCTACTATTTATAGCAAAACGAGAGGGGAAACAGAAAAACATAATCCATCAGGCTTAGTCCCAATGGTTCAGCCATTCCAAAGTTAAGGTTTTTTGTTTCAGTGGATTTTGTTTCAATAGTGTTTATCCCCTTCTCTTCCAATTCCTTTGACTCTAAACCCATGAAATTCAACTCAGATCTGAACATAGACTTGCTATCCAAAACTCTGCATTTTTAGTGACTCTGTTGTTATCTCCCAACCCCAAATAACTTCTAGAGAGGGGCAGTAGCAACCCTTTTCTCATGCAGAGACTGGAAGGAGACTATCTGTGTTCCTGTATTCCTACAGGTCAGGTCAAAAGCTCTTTAGTGACTCTATCCAGCTTCACATGCACTCCAAACGAACCACCGAATATTACGGACAGAGTTTCTGCAAGCAGATCCCAGGAGACTGTAGAAGCCCAGCTGCTCTGACATGTCCAGGAACATTTGGGAATCAAGTAACTGGTCCAGTGGGTAACACTGATTCCATGTGGATAAGAACCCCAAATTATCATGGCGAAAGCCCAGCACATTTTTGCTTGCAGGTGCTATATATTTTGAATGCAAACAAGCCCTGAAGCCATCTGCTAGTACGTCTCTTGTAACATGCGCTTCACTATAACATGCAAATTGCCTTCCTTCCTAAGAGCTGCCTTATAGAGAATCTGAATTTGCCACAGCTCATAAAACAAAAATATGTTTAATTATGATCTGTGTAATTATTGTGAAAGCTGCCACTGCTAATCAGTTCCAGGACAAATAATGTAAAATGAATGTACTACAGTATTCCTACAAAAAAATTACTTACTTTGCCTTGTTTTTAAAGATAAGGGGAAAAAAAAAAGGCACAGTAACTCTTTCACTGCCTCAACATGCGGCTGTAAACCTTGGCATAATTTTATTGCACAGTGGACAACAAAATCAATTAAAAGGATGTCAGACAGTTGGTTATTTGACAGCAAATCAAACTTGCATCTTACTCCTAAGCCACATTTGCTTCTTGTATAAACCTGGGAAAACTATTTGTACCTTCAGTTCTGCACCCCCCTGCAGCCTTTGCCATGAAGGAGAGTGCCCCTTCCATTGTGCATAAAGAAGAGATGAGAGCAGCATCCCCTTTAAACAGATGACTGCTGAGATATGGACTCATATGTGCATCAAAATCTTGGAGGCTCCACTCCATCTTTCCATTTTTTTTTCCCTGGACCACGTCTCCCTTTGTCACAGATCACCCAGCTGAGAGTCTTTTTTTTTTGGGACACTGTGCCCTCAAACAATCTCTGTGAAAGCAAAAAAGTGATGCTGCAACCAAGCAGCCAAAAGCAGGCAAGCTTTCGGCTGCATCCTCCACACCACAGAAAAGAAGATCTCCTCTTACTTCTTTGTCCAAGCTGTGGCACTGTGCAAATGTCCAGTGCTAGTCAGGACAACCCTGAAATCTGCCCTAAGCCCCACAGCTGAACAACATGAAGGTTTCTGTGTGAGTAGGACAGGCTCCCTCCTGCTTCCAGCACAAATAGGAGGACATCAGAAATCACGTGGAAGCCTCTCAGCCACATTTCTACAATACAAAGGTCGTCTTGGAAAGCTGTAGCATTTCCCTGAAGAAGCTGTGGCTAACAAAATGGTACTTGTCCAGCTGAAAATGCTAGTTGAAAACTCTAACAAAGCAGCATCGCTGCTTCTTAGCAGTTTAGCCTTTCTAACCAAAACACCATGATTCATTTGTTTTAGTCTATTTAGGCAGTGATGTTTTTGCAGAGATGCCCCTGTCCTTGGCAATTTTTTCTATTTATTTTCCTTTCCTTCCTATTTCCTCTGCCCACTGTACTATGA